TAGCTGACACTTCAGCGCCACGAACTTGAGGAGTTTAAAGCAACTAGAAAACACTTTCTGAGAGTCCGGCCTTCCCGGCTGTTCACATGTTGGGGACGTGGAGCAGATTTTTCTTGAAGAAGAGACTGTTTCTGAAAAAAAGAATTTACAAGTGGGTATTTGAGAATAAGACTGCTTTGGGGGAGAGAGTTTGGATTTCAGGAAATATTATAGCTTCTCTCCAGTCTCATGGAGGAAAAAGGAAAGTGTGGCCTTCAGCATGGTCTGTCCATTGGCTTGCCTCTCTAACCCACCACACTGACACATTCCATGTGTGTCCTGACAGACTAGTTTACCACTAACCTCTTGTTCATAACACCTGGCTGCTGTCGGAGTCCTTACTTGCTGCTTCATCTTGTGAATGAGAATGCAAAGTTGGGTTTTGAGAAAGACCTGACTGACCGTAAGTCCCCTGGGCCATGTAAATCTATTAAGAAACACCATCAAAAAGAGAATTTTGTGTATATTTTTAAAGGTGTTGTCAAAGCCCTAAAATATTCACTGTGACTAAAACATAAATGGGAATTTTTCTAGGAAGTATAATTTAATTTTTCAGTTTGGGATTCATTTTCATGTTGGTAACTCCAAGCTTCACAGAACAAATCCATCAGAGCTTATTCTGTCTCTACCAGGTACAGCGGTCACTATTTAGCCTTTGCATTTAGAGGTTTTGTTTCGTTGTTCGCATCATTCCCCATCCATTGGCTTAGCCCCATTTTGCTTCAGCTTTGACATCTTACTGACAATAGCACTGAATTTACTTTGACTTGATTTAATGTTAACTTTTGCATTTCTGGGTAAGAAAGTGCTTAAAAAGGTGGGTGGCCTGATTCTACTTTTGACAGACAAAAAGACCACAGGGCCTCCATGGTGGCCTCAGGGTTAAGTCTCAGTGCTACCACTATGAAGGCCCACCTCGATGGCCTGAGTTCAATCCCCACCCAGGGAGCTAACCCACACATGGCCTAGCAGACCTCTCCTGTCTCACATGCTGCTACCCTTAGCAGTGTATTTCAGTAGATCTGCCTGTTCTGTTCCCCACTCTGTCTCTGGTGAATCCTCTCACCCCTGACACCTCTGGCCTACACCCCAGTTCTTCTACACAAAAATAAATGAAATTATAAAAAAAAAAAACCCAAAACACTAAAAAGACCACAGATGGAGGACATTTCTTAGCTGAAGGTGGATATTTGTTAAAGAACTCCCTCTCACCCACCTGAGGTCTGTCAGGAGTTTCTGTGAGGAAATGTTTCCACATCCAAGCTCACACCTTGCCCTTTTGGGCTGCAGAGTTTGGGAATGTGAAACAGAGAAGCACACTTGGAGCTCCTGACTGAAAGGAAGTCACTGGGCAGAACCAAAGCTGAATTATGGCTGCTGCTTCAGGTATGGAGCTATACTTCTCACCTTTAAATATGCCTGTTAAGGCCCCTGTGGGTGTGAATAGCATGGAGTGTCCCCTCAACCTCCTCCAGTGTGAAGCCCTAGGTTGTAAGCTTGTTGACTGAAGTCATCGATCACATCTGTGCTCTAGTCCCGAACAACCTCTTCTGTCCTCTTCCCTGGAATTAGGTGACAGGTGCTTATTTGTCTTGGAGAGAGGTAGATTTCAGAAGAATTCCACTGTCAGAAAATATCACTATCAATAATGAAGCCATGTGGGCAGAACCATACCTGACTTCACTAACTCTTTGGCACCAGTGTGTGGTTTGTAGAAAGGGCAAGCTGACCCTGAGTGTTTATACCTTTGGGATCAGAGTTTGCCCTTCTCGGTAACATCAGCTGGTGATTCTTGGAGGAGAAACTTATTCCAGTTGTGGTGTTGGGAGGAAATGATAGTACCCTCTTATGAAATCATGCAAGGGATGTGTTATATCTTTGTGTGGTGGGGTCGAGGGGATTGACGCCGGGACCAGTTACTTCGACAAAGTTCAGTTTAATCACATTCAGTTCTGCTTAAGATATTACTGTAGCAGGAATATCTTTATCTCTACCTCATAGACACTTTTGTACCGCAAAAACTATTGTTTATACAGAACAAATAACCCTGATGATGGAATCATTTTTTCTTTATCCACATATTTGAGCTGTTTTTAGATCAAATGAGATTTTGTAAAAGGTCTTCCTAACCTGTAAGTCACAAAGATCTTTTCTTGTGGTTCTCAAATTTTGCCCTGCCAAAGATTCATCTGTAATGCTGATGATGTTTGCAAATTCTGAAGCTGTTGTCTCCCATTCCCTACCCCCCAGATTATTATTCAATAGTTTAAGGAGGGGCCCACAAATCTGCCTGTCAACAAGAGGATCAGGTGATTTTGAGGCAGGTAGTTCAAAAATATACTCTGGGATCACTGTGCAGTTTGGGTTTGTTCCTTTATTTATTTATTTTTTTCTGTTTCACTGCAGACAAAAATGACCCCCAATTTTATAGTTGCTTTCATGGTCTTTTTGCTATATTGCTAATTACACATACAGTAGTATAATTTCAGGACTTAAGGGTTCTGTGAGACAGAGGCCCCCTAGCTATAAGTGAGTGTCCCAGTACTTTTAAAATCCTAATTTCTAGAAGACTATTAAGACTAAAAGTAAATTCAGATTTTTCATAGGGTTTCACATTCTGCATAGCATTTCCATAAGGTCTCATTGACCTAAAAAAGTATATCCAGAGTACAATACCTTGAAAACCAGATAGATTGGTGAATATTTTTTTTTTTCCTTTTTTAAAAAACTAAGAATTGCTTCTTTGGTTTAAATAGTGACTATTAGCATCACTTTTATCTCCATCAGATTCACGGTCTAAACTTCTGAGTTGCTTTGTCACCTCCTTTCCTTTGGCCTGGCTAAAGACAAACTAACAAAAAAAAAAGAGAGAGAAGACAGACAAGAAAAGATTTTAATACAGAGGCTTTATAGCAGAGCAAAAGTAAAATGAAAGTGCATTCTTGAAGACTACTGGTGGGAGATTGCAAATGATGATCGTATCCCATCCCTCGGTCAACCTGGGTGGCCAGGGGCACTTTTGGAGGCTCCTGTTCTGGTCATAGAACTGTCCCTCTTCTGTACCACGACAACTACTGGCCTGAAGAAGGTGCTGTTTCCCAGGGAAAGGAGTTAAATCCCCCCAAGAAATGCAGAGGGCCTAGTTTGAAGAAAAAGTATTGCTAACCCAGCATTCACTCTGCGTAGTCTGCCTGCCTCAGGTGATGTCTCTATTTCAGGTAACTTTCAACCTCTCTGGTTAGAGGTCAGCTTCAAAGGAGAACTTTAGTTTGCTAATCTTGTGATTGTTTATACCCTGTGTAGCTTCCTGTCTTTGCCAACTGTTTATTGGAGGGAGTTTTCTCTCTTCAAGACGGCGGAGAAGGCTCTAAAAATAAACAACATCATTGCTTCTTGGTGAAAGCACATGTAAGCAGATGTCGGCGTCATGCCAGCTCATGTGTGTCCCAGAGGCCTGGGCTTTGGGCCTTGGCCTTCCAGGCCACCAGTCCTGCCACTCTCCGAATGTCAGTTAAAGAAGACTCCAGGTGTGATAATCATGTCCCGGGGACCTTGTGAGTGGGCTAAAGGTGGATGTTACACCATCTTACATTATTATGTGTTATTATTTTTTATTGAGGTAGGACTGACATGTCACAATATATAGTTCAGATGCACAACATTAGTGATTTGATCACTGTATACACAGTGATCTGCTTACCCTCCGTCACCAAAATTATCAATTTCTTTTCCAGTGATGAGAACTTTCCCGAGTCCCTGTGCCAGCAGTTTTCACATATGCACTATAGTATTCATGATCCGTTTTAAAATTGCGAGATAAAAGGCACCAACCTGGCAAAAATTGAGGAAGGAGTCCCACCAGGTCTTCATCTTTTGTCAAAGGAAGTTTTCAGTCAGGTGTGAGTAGGAGTAGCATTTGTTCTAGAAGACTTGCCCTGGGTCCCTGGCAGTGTGTGACGATAATCTGTGTGAGTTCCAGGCGCGAATCATATTCAGGCCTGCTGGCCTGCTGTCAAGGATTCACTTATCAGATAATGAGATAGCTACTGTTATTACCCGCCATGATCATCTTCTGCTTGTCAGTCTCTTTTAAATATATCCTCTCATTTCAATCTTCTAAAACACCCTCAGGGGTAGTATTACAAAGTCTGCTTCCTCTCACAGAAGCAGAGCTTGAGTGAATGAAGACCACAGGAAATCGGTGACCTGTAGGATTTCCATCTCCAACTTCTCAGCAAAGATCCCATATGAATTCTCCACTATGCCCCAGAGTTTTTGAACACTCAGCAATATTTTATCTTTGGTTTGAGGTTTGGGGTGATCTATTTTCTCTTGTAAGAATACGATGACAGTAACCTAGACCTCAGTGCTATTACTTGAGAGAAAGCAAAGTTCAAAATTTCTGGCTGTAGTAAAGATCCTTCGTGATACACTGAAACCATCCCAGGTGGTTCTTGCTTTTAAAACTGGAGCTCAGCAGCCCTAAACCAACATGCACTTGCATTTCTGACTGGAGAAGGATTTTCTGTGTGCGGGTAAGAAATGATGACAGCTGGTTTTAAGAAAACCGAAATGTAGGCCAGCCAAATGAAAAACAGAGTTGTATTCTTAAAAGGTAGGCTGCCTTTTGTCAAAGGAGGTCAGGGCCTCTCCGATTCATCTTTAATATAAATCAAGGTATTTATTTTACCATTTCAGTATATAAATTGTACATGGTTATTTTAACACTAGAGTGTGTGAAGGGGGAAGTGGGATTCAGGAGGCTGATTCTTGGTATAAGGGATGTGGAAAGACCTGAGACTCCTGGTACATAAGCCTCTGTCCCTGAGTAGCAGGGACCTTATATTCCTGGGGAATGATAAGAGTATCCATGAATCCTCTTCTACATTGAATCTTGTATAGTTCTGTGCGAGGCCTCTTCTCAGTCAAATAGTAATGACTGTACTTTTTAAAACTCCTAGCTGTCTGCTCAGTTGTTACAACACCCTCTGGCTCAGTGGGCAGCTTGTGCTCCAGACAGTCCCAGGTGCTCTGTGGGTACCTTGGTGAGTACATCCACTGCTTTCTACTTCATTTGACGTAGTGCTAGCAAGTTTGCCTTCGTGTTTGTCTCCTGTGGGGAAATGGTCAGGGGTCAGGGAGAATTCTGACATTGGCTTTGAAGCTGACCAGTCCCAGGGGTGCCCAAGTTTTCTTGTCAGAGTTCACACGAGAAAGACCTCGTGAATGGCTTTGATATAATTTGCTGACTTGCTTAGAGTGTGTAAAGAATGGATGGTGGGTATTGGAGATATGTGTTCTGGGGGCTGCAGAGTCATTTTGAATATTGGTTCCCTGACCAGCCCCCCCAAGGAGGCTGCACTCTGGAGGGTGGACAGTACAGCCAGAAAGTCAAGGGTCCTGTCTTTGTATCTTATTTGTATCAATGTTCTTATTTCTGGTACAGAATAGTTGCTCAATTAATGTTTCTTATTCTGAACTGAAGGGAAAGGCAATTTTCTCTGGGGCTCTGGGCAGAGGCCTGCGGAGAGCGCTCCTGATGCCTTCCTGTTGCTGTGTCTGGGTTGCAAGAGGGAAGAATTGCCATGGGTTGGGCCCTCAGCTAGCTGGACCTGGGCGCTGACCACTTGCTCAAACCACATAGGCCTGCCTCTTAAACTAAGCCCCTCAGAGCCATGTTAGATTGTGGGGTATAAAAGTTAGAGGCCTCAGCCCTTTTATATCTGGAACATTTATCAGTTCAGCCCATTGTTATGGAGTGCTTACTGCATGCTGGACTGTGAGCCTTCAGCAGAGTGAGTGGATGCAGGGGCAGGAGTCCACTCAGCGAAGAGCAGGAGGCAGAGCATCCTGATGCTCAAGAACTCACTGCCCCTCTCCCCCCACCATTGTCCCTATCCTGTGCTCGGGAAGAGAGGAAATGGTCTGCCACCTTGACACTGGTTAAGGCTATGTTGTTGAGGGTTTGCCTGAAGGGTTTGCCCTTGCAATCATATGTCACTTAATGTTGGGAACACATTCTAAGAAATGCATTGTTAGGTGATTTTGCTATTCTGTGAATGTCATAAAGTATAATTACACAGGCCTGGATGGTACAGCCAACTACACACCTAGGCTGCCTATTGGCCAACTACACAGGGCGGCCTATTGGGATGTCCATTGTGTGTGTGGTCTGTCATTGGCCCAACCATCGTCCAGCAATTCATGACTGTATAATTGTGGTTCCAGACAGAGACAAAAGAAATGATTTCATTATGCTTGCAGGGGCCTACACAGTGGGTTATGCTTCTCTGCAATTTACCATGCCTAACCTTGCTTCTTAGGAGTCAGGATAGCTTGTTTACAGTGGTCTAAGCTAAGGTTTCCTCAAAAGAATGGATTCTGTTAAAAACTTAATTTATTTTAGTATAGAGAGACCCAGAGTGGCTGAAGCTGCCACATGAATAAATGAGTGAATCCATGCTTTCTGAGACCGGTTACAATTTGTTTTTAGTCTCTCAAGTAGTATTTGGATTTTACTATCTACACCATAAAGTTGACTGATTTTTCTCCCTGCCCCCGGATAGCTTTTAGAGGGAAAAAAAAGCAAAGGTAATGAGAGATGGAAAAGGTTTTTGGGTCTGTCCCTGTGTCCCTGGGGCTTAGACATCTTATCCCAGTCCTGTACACTGGACAGCTGGGGAGTCAGGCAGGGAGACCCATTCTGTAGGAAGTTGCAGCTCGGAAGGTAAATGCCTGGTCCTTCATCAGGGGACTCACTAGTCGCAGAGCCCAAATTTGAATTCAGGCCTGGCCTCTGCCCTGTGCCACACCAAAGCCCTCAGACACTTCCCCTTTCTGCTACTTCCCTTGGGAATTTTGCCCACACATTTTATAATTTTCTTACCTATGACTTTGGGTTGATTTCCTTTTCGTCTTTTCCTCCCATAGTGAAATAAGTGGTGAGGCCTACCCTGGTTCTTTGTGTGGGTTTATGGGTTTTCTTCTCAGACACTCCCTCTCACTTGGGGTTATTTAATTGCTGCAAGCTTCCCTCTTTCTTTGGTGAAAAAACATTGGAAACCCACCCTGCTCCTGGGTGAGTCTGGAAAACCAGGCGTGTCTCCAAGGGTGTGGGGACGGGGCACCCAGAGATTCAGCTCTACTTCCTCAGCCCACAGACCCCTTTTAGACCTTCCCCGCAAGACTGCTGAGGCTCTGCAACTTTTTTTTTTTTTTTTGTCTCTGTTCTTAGAAATAGTAATTGAGTAAAAATGTAAGTGAGCAGATGCCAGGGGGCAGACGTCCAGGGTCAGGGTGAATTTCTCCATGCTGAGTGTGATTCTGAACACTCGTTAAGTGGAGGCCGCCCGTGCCAAGCGGCTCGAGGGCCATCCCTGTCACCTTGTGTGAACCGCTCTCCATTCCAAGGAGAGGTTGGGAGTGGCTGGAGGGAGCGCGGGCCTGTGGCGCCTCTCGCTTCTCTGCTGCCTCCAACCTGGGTGTAGTTGGTGACTGGTATTCTGACCCCAATAACTGGGACTGGCAGCTCTGATGCTTCATCAGCTCGAAATAAAATCCCCTGGAGGATGAACTAGGAGTCCTTGCTCCTCACTTCCCATTTGGCTACTGAACACATCTTTTTTTCAATTCATTTCCCCCCAAATATTGGTTAAGATGTGGTTAGTTTGCGTCAAGAGTTTGCCAATACGATATAAGAACATGGAAGTAAGCAATAGAGGCATTCTCTCTGCAAACGAATGGATTAAAATTCATGAAGTAAAGCTCAGTTTTGTTTTGTTTTTTCCAAAGTGTTTACTGAGCAAGAGGTTTTAAGAAGCTTGCTTGTGACCCTGGACTTTATCCCAGGGTGACCCCCTTAAGGTGATCTCGGTCATGGGGACAGTTTCCCTGGTCCAAGCACGGACCTGCAGAGTCAGAAAAGCCAGGTGGGTGGGGTGAGGAATTTTCACATTTACGGCCACTGCAGGTGCTTTGAACCTGCTGGGGTTAGCACCAGGCAGTGGATGCCCTGAAGATGCCGGTCTGCTTGTTCAGAGCCCTCCAGTGCAGTGTGACTCAGGCTCAGCAGGGTCTCTGTGTGATCTGCTGGTCCTGCAGCTGTATGACCTGAAACCATAACAAGGTGAAATTTTGCACAGTGCTCTGCACGCAGTTATTGAACCAGACCTATTGTTAAGGGGATCACACAGATCCCCTGCTCACTGTTTACCACAGAGGGGCAATGCAGGCAATGGATGTGGGGAAGTAAATTAATCATGGAGGTGAGGTGGCTGGATGCCTAGCTGGGAAGCTGTGCTGGGCAGTGAACCCCTACACTCAATGCCTTCAATGGGTGAGGAGGAAGCGGGATCTTCCAAACGAATATATAAGTGACATATATAAGATTTAAGCCAGTGTATAACGTGTAATTCTCTGATGTGTTTGGTCAAAGCACTGCCGAACTTTTCATAGCCTGAATCCTGTTCTGAGACATTCCATGGGGTAAGGAGCTAGCCCCGCTGGAATGTAAACTCAACTATCTCAGCCAAACTCAGCTTCGAGGAACTGCAGTGTTCTCTTTCCAAATGGTGTTTTTTTTTTTTTTTTTTTTTAACCAGAGGTATCAGAACAGGTCAAAATCTGACCCAGCAATTTAGAAGTAAAGTTAATAATAAATTACCTGGTCTTTTCTTTGTACAGCCACTTAACTTCCCATTATTCTGGTGTTATTTTTGAACGATCTGGTTTGGCTTCCAACCAGACAGTTACGGACATTCTTTAACTACTGTAGTGTTTTTGATCATCAGGCTATTTTGAACGATATCCAGTTTTCTCCTGTGTAGCTGGTATCTCAAAACAGGCCACGTGGCTATTGAAATAGGGACAGCTGGCCATGTTCATTCTGCTCCCCAACCAACCTCTGATGAAACGATCTTTACATCAACTGCAAATACAGATGTAGTTTTAAGATAGATGTCAAATGCAGAAAGAGATCCTGGGAAGTCAAAGGTAAAAAACAGGACATCCTTATGCTCTCTGACGCCATCCCCCAGTCTGCCATCAAGGTGAGAATCCAGCCTGGAAAGCAGGGATACCCTTGGTGAAAAAGCAGCAACAATTCAGCTCTTGGGGAGCTTCACTTTCTGGAGGAAGAAGATAGACAATTAGTGCCAAGAAGATAGACAATTAATGCCAAGATTAAATAAGAATGTAGCATGTGATAAATATCGGAGAGGAAAAAAGTAGAGCAGGGTTGGGGGCTGGAGTGGTTGGTGCAATTTCCATACTCTGGGGCTGTAGGTTCCCTTCAGATGGTGACAGTTAAATAGAGACTAGGAGGTCAGAAAGTATCTCTGGCCATCTGGGGGAGCAGCTTTGGCAGAGGGACCAGCTGGTGCCATTTCTGACATGTTCAAATTTTATGAAAAGTGGCCATAGGAGAGGTGGTTCAGTGGTGATGGCATAATGCTGGGTATTGGAGAGTTTTTGTGGCTTCTTCTGAAAATGGGGAATAGGGTGGTTCTAGCCAAGGAGCTCCTGTGGCTAAGTTGAGACTGGAGCATGAAGTCAATTTTGAGGGTGGGGCATGTGCAGTGACATGGATTAGCACTCTGCAGCTGCATTTCTAGGTGAAACCATGCGAGAATTTTACACAGACCTTGCAGGTGTGGAGTTCTTTCTTTAGTAAATATCTGATAAGCAGAAGACAGTGAGTTTTATATGTAGAATTTTTTTTATCTTTTTAAATTAATACCCCGAGTTACTGGCAGCTCACCCCCTGATTTTCTGAAAGGTTCTCCCACCTCTTGTTGACAAATGTGGAATAGCAGCTGTCAGAGTATCCTGGCTGTCATGTCCAGAAACAGTCATCTTCTACTCAGTGGCCAGAAACATGTGAAATGAGGGGACCAAGCCTTAGCCCAGGAGAATGAATACCTTCCCCTGTGTAAGGTTGAAAGTCTGCCTTCAAAGGGTCTTCTGATCAGCCTATTGAGGCCTACTGCCTTGGCTGAGACTTTCAAGAGAGGATACACACAAAATTGTGGCTCTTATCAGTCCAAAA